TAATACCAACTCAAATCAGTTGCCCCACATATAAAAGCTCATATTTTAGAAATACGAAAACAGTTTTTATGGTCAACCCTGATATTAATTTTCGATTTATTATTTTTACCATCTCTATAAACTATTCTTAATCAAAATCAATAATAATTTTTTTTTTCTTAATTTTCAACACAAACATCCTTCTATAACAAAAAAAAAACCATTTTAAATCCTTTATGTTGGAAAAATTCTTTCATCTTACCTCAGACATCTATAAAAAAATTGATATACTCTAAATTTAATAACAATATACTCTTAAGTAAATCATAAAAAAAAATTTAATTCGAAGGTAAATGAACTGGAGATCATCTTAACAAAACTAATTTATTTTTGGTAATGTCCGTAAATCTTTTATTGATAATCAAAAATTATTTCTGGGATTTGTTTTTATAGTTTTCATTATTACCAATTGTGTGGAAACAATAAGGGAGGTTATGTACCAAATTTCGGATGTCAAGTTTTCAGTGGGAACACATTCCTCAATTAGTCTGTCGCGTCATTCTATCTGTCTCTCTGCATGTCTATCTCAAGTTCAGCTGATTCGATTTTGATGAAATTTTATATGTGAGTTTATTTCGACTATGTCACAGAGTTATTAACCTTTGAGATATATCAGGCTTCGGGAACTAGATTTTTTAGCAGCCCAATTTTACATTTTTGCATATATAAAGAAAAACAATCTACAATTTCCTTGAAATTTAGTATTTAAATTTGGGGTATTAAAACCTGGGGGTGCAAAACTTTTGGAAAGATCAGGGTTTGGAAACTTGGTGGAGATCTGTTTTATTTTTTTACCATATTATGTAGTGAAATAATTGGTGGAATTTTTTGAACTGGCGACGTTTTTAGGGAATTCGGACCGTACAAACCGAAAGTCTACTAAGAGCCAAATTTACACTTTTCCAGGCATATTAAATAAAAACCAACTAACTTCTTTAAAATAAACAATTTCAGAATCTTTTGTAGCACTTTCCCTAAAATAGATCATACACATTGCGGTTGGTTATGTGTTGATCTCATCAAATTTTTATTATTTTTTTTTGTATTTTTATTAATTTTCTTTTTAAATCAAAAAATTTGAACCATTTGTTTTTTTTCAAATAAAAAGCAAAGCATTCAATAAAGAGAAAAATACTTTTATTCATGTGTACAGGACAAAAGCATCTATATACCCTACATATGAATAAGGTAAAACACATTTTTTTTCTCAAAATTTTCAAAAATATATTTAATTATTTTATATTTATACAATAAAAGAAAGAAAATCAGAGGCAAAAAAACTTAGAGAATCAAAGAGAATGAAAAATAGAAATAAGAGAAAAGAAGAAAAACAAAAAACATAAATTTAAATTTCAAAATCAATATTTATTTAGAACTCCATTAAGAGCTCTTGCCACCTGTTATCCAAAATAATACATTAATTTTTTATATGTATGTATGTTTGTGTGCGTGTGTCTTCATTGATAAAAACACTATAGTGTATATAATTGTGTATTATTAGTTGTTATACATATATATATATAAGATATACTTGTATATTAAAGAAAATATTTAATATTCTGTCTGATGTGGGATAAAAATATCTCAATTTTCTCTTAAAAAAAAAAAAAAAACAAGAATAAAAACAAAAATGGAAAATATTTTCTGTTTTTATGCATTTTTCTCTCTTTTTTTTCTTCTTGTTATTGTTATTATCATTATTAGATATATTTTTTATATTTCTTGTTTTTTTTTTTTGAAAGGACCCAAAAATTTTAATATTAAATAACTCTTAAAAGGTTTTCATTTATTTTTCTTTTTTTATCTTTTGAACGATGAAAAAATACTAATTCGAAAAATTTGCCAAAAAAAAAATTTATATAAAAACCTTATAAATGACACTAAAGCTTATAATATTATCAATGCATACACATAAACAAACAGACGTATAACACTTATATTATTATAACATATTATATACAGACACACGCTTACTTTATTATTATATCATTGTGCAATTTATATTTAAAGAAGATGTCCCAACTTTGATAATCGACCTTACTTAAAAAAAAAAAAATAAAAAAATTAAGAAAAAAATTGAAATTGGTTGGGGGTTTGTCGCAAAAAAAATATTATTGCGGTACATAAAAAAACAAAGAATATGAGTAATCATCTATTATTAATTGATAATAATTTATATATATATATATATATATATATATATATATATATATATATTTAATATTAGGTTTATCATTCTTCTTTGATATTAAAAAAAAAGAACAAGACGACGACATCTTGGTTATTTAATTTTTTTAACAGTAATTATGGATTTAGATTAAGGTTAAAAAATTAATGTAATTTTGAATTATTTATTGTATGGTAAGAACAGGGCGGGATTTAAATGTGACTGCCGAAAAAAAGGAGAGAAAAATGGCAAACATTTATTCTGCTCTGTTAAAAAATGACTCTTTGAATGTCTTTTTACTCTCTTTTTTATAAACAAAACGGTTAATAGCAATACAATGACAATCCAAAGGCAAGCATTTCAAACGAAAAGAGAAAGGTAGCTCTTTTGTCCAGAAAATGCTTTTCTTGTCCGAAATGGAATTAATTTTCGAATATTAGTAACGGTATGTAAACTCCTAATATTTGCATATCGGTATCTTATCCTTAATAATAATTTTTGTATTTATTTGACTTATAAACATAAAAAGAATAATTTCACTTTTTGGACGGTAAAATTTATATTTCATACATTCATAAAAAAATATCTACAGCCGGATCTGTTATACAATTAAAAATTATAGAAATTTTATATGAAAATATTTAAGTAATTTAAGAAAAATTAATAAAATATTTTTTGACTTTAAAAATTTTTTATTTATTTAAATTAATTTAATAAATTGGATGCTTTTCTCTCATATTTCTAAAATGGAAGTACTTTAAATTTGATACATCTTGTATACGGCTATAATTATGTCTACATGTATGCTGACATAATGACACACAATGTACATTTTATGTGAATTGTATATGTATGTATATATATATATGTTTGTGGGTGAATGAAGTTCAATATACTTAATATGACATTGTTAAATGATTGATAAAAATAGGTTTTATATATAAAATACAAGTGTAAGAGTACCTAGTATATAATATATAGATAAATATTATATATAAATATTAGGTTACGAAAAAAATAATATTAGAAATATGTATGTAGAAATAAAAGTAGGATTCAAATGAATTTTAACAAAAATTTATTTTCCTTTTGTTTTCTTTTAATAATATTAAAAGAAAGTAAAAGAATTTCTTTAACATATTGGAAAAATATAAAGTAAAGGAAAAATGATGATATCGGTGATAACACTTTATACGGGTGAAGAGAGAGGGGGGAAGCATAGGGTTAGAATCAATGATTTTGGTAAAAAAACTTTTTCAAATTATTTTCATATTAGTCAAATTTCGAACATTTAATTTTTATTTATTAAGAACACGGAGACTAAAAAATTTTTCCCAACTTAATAAATTTTTTCCTGTTTTAAGAAAATTTTTTCTTTTCGGTCTAATTCCTTGTCCGTTCATTTGTGTGTTTATTTACAAATAGTATTTTCCTCACCCTTTGATATAGAAAATTTGATATAGAAAAACTCATATTCTTTTAGAGAAAACAAAAATCTCCCCACTCCAAAGGTTATTATATCCTTCAAAATACTTAAATTTATTTTGTCGTTATATTGAACCACAAAAATTTTGCAAAACACAGTGAAACAGCACCTTGCTTCTTCTATTTCAAAAGAGTATAGTTCAATATTTAGTTAATAGCAAAATGGCTGTTGAAATTAACCGTTATCAAAAATAATTTTTTTTATTTTTTAATTTTTCTCTTAAACATGTTTCATTCTCTGGAGAAGTATAAGATTTGAACAATTTATTTATATAAATTAATAAACAACTTATTTTGTTAGAATAATTTTCGGCTACATAACTCGCCTATTAAGTCATCTATCTCTCTCATCACTTCCAACTAATTGACTTTCAATATTAATAAAATTATAATTTTAAGTTTAATTATATATTAAAAGTATAAACATCTTGCCATAACAAAAAAAATGTAATTTTTTTATCTCAGTTCCTCATTAACCGTTAAAATTATAGCTCGTAATTAGCCGTAAAATATGTTTACAATTACTCGAAATACTGGTTGTTGAAAAATTTAGCATTTATAAAAATTTGCAATATTCTAATAAGTTCAGGTATGGGTGAATAAATTTTACTTTTTTGACAATAAATACATTAGACCAATAAAGAACCAACAGAACTAGAATTAAATTCGAAACTGAAACTGAATAAATGAAATATCTCAATCCTTTGGAATTCTATTTATTCAGGTTCAACTGTATTAATATTTAAACGCATATTTTATGAGCGATAGTGGGAAGTTCACTTACAAAACACATAACCAAAAATTTTTTTAATAATTATAATAAAGTATAACAATTAAAATAATGTGGTTTCGTTTTAATTCTAATTAATATTATTAATAACATTTAATTAAATTTAATTTTTCATTCAGCTTTCATTAACATAGAATAATTAAAAAAAAAAAATTTTTTTTTTTTAGGAAAACAAATATGTCATACCGACTAAAATACACTGACAAAACATTTTTTTCAAAAATAATTTTATTATAAATTAAAATATGTAAAAAATTTAAAAATAAAGAAAAAAAAAATTTAAGAGTGAATAATTAATAAATTTTTAGTGTAAATAATTTATTAAAAATCTTTTTTTTTTCTCTGTTGTTGTTTTTTAATTAATATACAAATATATTTATGTACATGTATATATATATGTATTTGCAATATATACATATTATGTTACACAATTAATTATATTTAATAAAAAAAAATTATAATCATATATATATATATATGTTGGTGTGGTACCTATATGTATATGTATATAAAACAACATAAAAATAAAATAAACAACAAAAAAAAAAAAAATATAAAAATAATAAAAAACAAGTGATATATAAAATTACATCTATCATTATAATTATATTTTATATACATATGTATTTAAAGGAAGTTGTAAGACTTCTGGCAAACTCAAAAAATTTATTAAAATGTTAAGTTCGCTAGAAGCCTTAGCTGGTAAAATATCTCCGGGTTCAGGAAAGAATAGTCCATTACGACGTAAAAATTTATACAACATTTTGGATAGTAATTTAAGTAAAATTAATCACATTAATCATAGTATTCATCATCCATATTTTAAGCAGGAGAATAGCTGTACAAAGGAGAAGTAAGTTATTTTCATCTATATATATATGTATATATATATATATATATATTTGTATTTTTATTATAATATAAAGTAAAAATATAATAAAAACATTTGACACGTCCATATTATATATGTATATGTATATACATATATATAATTATGTTAATTATATTGTATACAGCCCCGGATTTATCATACATGCAAAGTATGCATTTGCAGCGGGCGATAAAAAATAGGGGCGCCATTGAAAACTTAAAAAACCCCTAAATTTAAAAAAAAAAATTTTTACCCAAAAAAAAGGATTCCAAGTTTTTTTTTATACATCAATTTATAGCGAAATTAACTTAATAAAATCTACCTACATGCAAACATAATATTTTGTTCCTACACATATTTTCTATTTGCACCATATAACAAAAAATGTTCATAGAATTAAAATTACTCATACATTTCTTTACTCTACACTACTCTTTCATTCTTATTTTTTATGTACTGTATATGCCTATAAACACAGAATATTATTTCACACAGCTGTATACATTCAATCGTTCATATATATAAGTGAAATCGTCTCATATAATATACATACATATATAGAAGCAATGTACGCAACAAATAAAAATATTCAAAAATACACATGTACACATAATTTATATTGTCTAATATGAATAAGATCAACACTCATGCGTACACATATAATTATCTCATAAAGCAAAATTTTTATTTTGCTGAGATTGCTCCCTATCAACACTCGCTCGTACACATATAATTATATCACAAAGCAATGTTTTTATTATGCTTAGTGGCTACACTCGTTCGTACACATTATATTTAAATTGTTTCATACATGCAAAATTTTATTTTTGCTTAGTTGGCGCCCACTCACTAAACAAACAAACACATTATTATAATGTATTACTTTTCTGTATACTATTGCATTAGTAAACAACAAGAACAAAACAAAAAAAACACAAATTAAGAATGAGAATAGAAAGAAATTAGAAAAAGAGAATGAGAGCAATATTCTTAAATGACGGAAAGCATAGCTTGATATTGAGATTGTGTATATGTATACCAATATTTTGTTTTTGTTTAACAACAAAAAATTTTGAATGAATTTTAAAATTACATGATCGTTATGAATTTCTACTACTATGTTCTGCTTTCGTTTTTGAAAAAACTGTTATCAATCACAGAATTAAATTTTAATTGATAAAATCTACTACTTATATTGAATTGAAAAATGTTGTTTAATAATCAAGTGAATGTTAAGAATTTTTATGCTGAATTGATGTAGTTTGTCATCCAAGAAATAAGAGTAAAATGAAATGGCGCATAATTTGCTTCACACATTTATCTCCAAAATTAAAACAGTTAAGCAAAACGACATTCTGAAATTTCAAAACCACGAGCCTATAAATACCAGTAAATGCATTTATTTTAATAAAATCTAAAAAATATAATGAACAGTATAAAAGCTTATAGCTATGTACATGAAAAGCTTAGTTTTTAAGTCACAAATTTTAGAACGAAACTTTGATTTTCCTTAAATTTTTGAATGCAAGTCGAAACTTTTTTTATACGCTGCTTCATTTCTCAGGCGATTTGTGAAATAAAAAGCCAAATTTTACGAATAAAAATAAAAATAATTATAAAAATAAAAATAAAATTGCGAATAAAAATAAAAATAATTTTTTACTTTTTTTCATATTCAAATAAGCTGTGAAAAAGTTCATTTGATATAATTTTCATAGAACCTTTTACAATAAGTTTCACTTACGTCAAAAAGTAAATTTTTTGGTTGTTAAAATCAAAAAATCAAGTTTAAGTGATTGATATAAATCTGATCATAACTTCATAAAAAAACGCACAGTTAAATAAATTACCTTGTTTTTGAATTTATAAAACAAAAAATTGAAAGTTTAGTTCCAGACTTTAATTCTATAATTCAGCACAATAAGGTTACAAGAAACTGCTTTATGATGCACAATGTGCAATGCCTATTAAATTTTGTTCACAGTAATAAAATAGGTGAAAAGGTTGAAGGGGGGGGGGGGCGCACTTTTTAGGAACCGCTTAGGGCGACGAATACATCAGAACCGCGCCTGATTGTATATATATATATATATTATGATGAACATATTATATATCTAAGAATTGATATACTTGTAGAATAAATAAAAGTAAACAATTTTGTAAGAGTTTTTTCTATTTCGATATTTTCATTACATTAATTTCAATTTTATTATTGTGTCTATATAGAATATTTCTTTGGTTTTAAGGCATAAAACTCCTTAAATCAGAATGGGAGTGTCATATAAATTATATTTAAAATTTAGATTTGTTTTCGAAAACAAATTTTATTACGGATCACTTGAGTACAATACTGAAGAAGCCAGACTAGAGAATATAAGCCAGTCTTTGGTAGTCTGAAATGGCGGCCGAATTAATTAATAATAAAAACAAATTTTACACTAATTTTAATTTGAAAAACTAATGATAATTTAATATAATCCCGCATGACTATAATCATTAATTATTTTTAAAATCGGTTTTTAAATCATACGCCCGGATAATCATTTCAAATACGGCCGGATTATAAACTCTACATTAAAAGAATACAGCATTTTCTCGAATGCTGTTTTTTAAATTTAAACCGATTTCCAGAAAAAATACCAAACAAAAATTTTAAGAGTCGCTCAAAAACTTTTGAGTTAAGCACAAATTATGTTAGAAAATTTAATATTAATGATATTAGGCTGCTATTAAATTGCATTTTCCAGTAATTAATATTAGCCTATAATTGATAGGGTAGTCTTTAATCATGAATATTTCTAGAAAAATTGATTTAGAAATAATTTATAATTTAAACATACTCGTTTATTTATTAAAAGTCACTTTACTATGAGATCTATTTTAAAATACCATCTAACAGGGACTTTTTTTTCTATTATAAAATAAATTTTTTAAATATGATTGCATTTCGATATGACAAATTATTGGCAAGACTGGTTATTATTGCGAATATAATTTCATGTCAATTGAAATTCAAATGTCAATTAAAAAATAAAAACAATTAAAAATATTGACATTGTCATCATATTTTTCTATATAACATTTTTTCTAACAAATTAAACTAATTTTCCCGTTTTTTTAACACAACACATGTAACAACACCAAATACGCGCAGACAGAATTTGTTGAAAATTCTGAAAATAGCAATTTACCGTTTCATCCCTTCTCATTTTCAACCTTAAATTAATTTTCTTTTTTCATATATTTTATTTTATAATGTCAAATTTTCCTTCAAATATTTTATTAAAAAAAAAAATTATTTTTTTTACATTTGATAAAAATTCTTTCTAAATTGAAATTTGATTTTGAAGAATTTTAATACAAAAAAAAAGTAAGAGCAAAAGTAATAAATATATTTTGCGTGCGTACACTTTAAAAATGTTGTCAGTCTTAATGTGATATACAATCTACATATACTTATATGCTAACTAAAATATTCAATAAGAACGTATTCAGTAAGAACGTAACGAAACTATTCAATAAAAGGTTTAGATTTTAATGATTATGATTGACATACAGATTGAAAAGGATAATAATTGATGAGAAATATATGAGTTTTCTGACCCTAAATTTCATACGGTACGGTACATGTATGTAATATACACATTATATAACTGCACATATATAACACTTATATATCGATAATTTGCAAAGTGAAATATGATATCAATATTTATTTATATATGTGTAGATATATATACACGTATATGTGTTATACGTGTATATTTATGTGCAAAACATGATTTGCACATTAAATTGTTTTGTATCATAAATATTTTGCAAAAATTCATAAGGGTATATACGAGTATATATATATATGGTATCTGGAATGATATCTAGGAATTTAGTAGACAAGGAATGTTAATAGATATAGGTATATGTACATATATATGTAAATTTGAAAAATTGTTTTCATGCGTGTAGCTAGAACATATTGTTTTACGTTTATTGTTTTTTACATGCATGCAATGCATACCATATTATATACACACAATTTAATTATTTATTTCGATCATTTACCAATAAATTGAAATAAAATTTAATATCTTTTAATTAAATATTATGATTATAAAACAGAAATGGAAAATAAATTGTTATATGCATGTATGTATGTATGTATGTTTGAGTGTAGACAAAAACATGGCAACATTTTAAATTTTTAATTATAAAAATGTTTGTTTCATATTATTTTTAATAAATTTGAATTTTATTTATTTTTGTAATTGCCTTTATTTTTTTTTTCTTTTTTTTAAATGAGCGAACAATAAATTTAGAAAAATTAATGTTTTGAAATTGTTATTTTATACTTTTGTACATATTGTAAAAAATATTCTAAATTTTAATTAAATTTTTTATGTAAATTATATTGTATCATTTTATGTATAACAGTATAACAGTAATGTATAACAGTTTAAACGTATAACAGTTTGAGTAATAAAACTCAGAAACAACAACATCAGCTTCCAGATTCACCAGATTAGTCCACTACACTATTTTACTTCCCGTCACACCAGTCTATTGCCCACTACCCCAGTCAAGGGTGTTATTGAAAAGAGTACTTACTTTAAGACTATGTTAAAGTGTTAAATTTTTTCGTTGTAAATGAGTTTAAATGCATTTGCTTTAAGTACGCACATAATACAATCGGATCCACATATTAAGAACCACCATTTTACAATATCTTCCTACGGAAATTTGTGTTATAGGGATTTGACGGTATATTTGAATGTGAGTAAGAAGTGAATACGTACAATCCAATTTCATCTATAAAAATATCAGTTTCATTTATGACTTATGGCTTTCAATGAAAACTAATTTTTGTTGGTCTGCGATAGTCACAGTCACATCTTTCAAAATATTCGAAAATTATTTGAATAAAGGGAGAGAAAAACTTATGCTAATATCAATTTTCCTCTATACAGGCTGTAAACAGCAGTACGTTT